ACTGAAGAAGCTTCTCGGATGAGAGGTGAAACGTCTTCAAGCAACTTAAAGAAGTCCAGACGCTTTTCTTTGCAAGCTCCTTTGACTTTATTTGCTCTTGTTCTGTTTGCATCAAATTTGGACGACTGACTCAGCTCCAGCGCTCTGATTTTTTCACTTTTCCAGGTGTCTGTGGTTTTCAGTGAGCAAGTGCCGGCAGCTGTCCAACACTGAGCCTGTCATGCACGGACAAATCCAGTCTCCCCAATATTCTCAACCTTATCTTCTCATCCTGCAAAAGCAATGGGACCTCTGTATCTGCTGGTTTCAGATTTTTATGTAGCTTAATGATATCAGAACATTTCAGCGCTCTCTTCAGTAAGCAGCTCAGTCTATTTTCACCCTGAGTACAACAACTCCAGCAGTACAGACTACAGCAATGGTACTGACTTGATCAGAGTGCAAAAGTAGATCTCATAATCTCATGTGCAATGCCCATATGTTTGCCAGAGGAGGGTGCTACACACATAACTGAAATGAGAGGCAAATAAATACATTAGATTTTTTTAAAGTATCATATTTATTTAATAGGAGTAAAACTTTTTCCTCATAAATTTTTGAATTTGTTCTTCTCCCCTAAGTAACAACATGTATAAATTTCACTAATTTTGTGGAAAAGATTTACAGGAAGTCACTGCTGTATTTTTGTTTTCACGCTGGTTTCAGGCTTTGGTCTTTCAATAATGAGCATGTGTATTTCCACAAGGAGACACATGAAATACCAGAATTAACAAATAACATGTTTTGTGCTGAACTCCCTGAAGGTGGGAAGGACTCATGCCAGGGTGACAGAGACACTGGGCTGCTGGGATTGTCAGCTGGTGGGTTGAGTGCATACCAGGTAACAATCTGTTTTTAGCATAAAGGCATTTAATCACACATTTAAGTCTTCAGTCTGTTGTCAGACAGCAAAACCCCTTAATAGTGTAAGAGTATATCATGAGTATAAATGGAGCCAGGAGAGCAAGCATGGTTGCAGGACCAGGCAATTATGACTTCAAATAGTTATGTTGTAACGGGCAACCTGTATCAAATTTAACAGGTAAATATTCAGTTGCATGTGTTATTTGATATTTGCTTATTGAATACTTCCCCCTTCCTCTTATGGTGTTGATTTGCAGATTTTCATGTGATCTAATCAGAACCTTCCAGCTCTCCCCTGTGTTTCTGGTCACACTACAGCAATGCCATTGCCTTGATCCTCTACACTTGATCATATTCACCTCATTCATTATCATTATGTCCATATGCTTGCCAGCAGAAGATGCTGATTCTTGTGAACATTCGCCAATTTATGCTTTTCTCCACTCGAGTGCCAACCTATAGATCTCACTCGGCTTCAACATGAAATACCTGTAGATGTTTTGAATTTTCCATAAGTGTGCAATAATTGTTTAAACAAAATCAGGCAGGTGCATAAATTTGGGCACCACAAAAAAAGAAATGAAATCACTACGAAGTAGATCCGCCTTTTGAAGAAATTACAGCCTCTAAACGCTTCCTGTGGGTTCCAATGAGAGTCTGGATTGTGGTTGAAGGTGTTTTGGACCATTCCTCTTTACAAAACATCTCTAGTTCATTCAGGTTTGATGGCTTCCGAGCATGGACAGCTCTCTTTAAAGATTTTCAATAATATTCAGGTCTGGGGACTGAGATGGCCGTTACAGAACGTTGTACTTGTTCCTCTGCATGAATGCCTTAGTGGATTTTGAGCAGTGTTTTGGGTCGTTGTCTTGATGACCACATATTTTACTGTAGGCAGCAGGTGTTTTTCTTGGAATGCTGTGTTCTTTTTCCTCCATGCACAACACCCCTTCTTATGTCCAAATAACGAAATTTTACTTTCATCAGTCCACAGCACCTTATTCCAGAATGAAGCTGGCTTGTCCAAATGTGCTTTAGCAAACCTCAAGCGGCTCTGTTTGTGCTGTGGGCAGAGAAAAGGCTTCACTCTCTCATACAACATCTCCTCGTGTAAAGTGCGCCAAATGGTTGAACGATGCACAGTGACTCCATCTGCTGCAAGATGATGTTGTAGGTCTTTGGTGCTGGTCTGTGGGTTGACTCTGACTGTTCTCACCATTCGTCGCTTCTGTCTATCCAAGATTTTTCTTGGTCTGCCACTTCGAGCTTTAACTTGAACTGAGCCTGTGGTCTTCCATTGTCTCAATATGTTCCTAACTGTGGAAACAGACAACTTAAATCTCTGAGACAGCTTTCTGTATCCTTCCCCCAAACCATGATGGTGAACAGTCTTTGTCTTCATCTTCAGGTCATTTGAGAGTTGTTTTGAGACGCCCATGTACCTACTCTTCAGAGAAAATTAAAAGAGGAGGGAAACTTACAATTGACCCTCTTAAATACTCTTTCTCATTATTGGATTCACCTGTGTATGTAGGTCAGGGGTCACTGAGCTTACCAAGCCAATGTGAGTTCCAATAATTAGTTCTAAAGGTTTTGGAATCAATAAAATGGCAACAGTGCCCAAATTTGTGCACCTGCATGATTTTGCTTAAACAATTATTGCACACTTTCTGTAAATCCAATAAACTTAATTTCATTTCTCAAATATCGCGATGTGTGTCTCCTATATGATATATTTAACTGACATTTTTTTATTGTAACAACCAACAATTTATACAAGAAAATAATGACTATTAACAAGGTTGCCCAAACTTTTGCATCCCACTGTACTTTTGTTTCAGGCTTTGGTGTTTTGCTTTTGCATTGTAAACATGGATAACAGGCAGATTCAAACAAGCAAACTGGAGTATGTGCATTTCTCAGTGGTGAAGCAGGAGACATGCAGGAATTTAATCATTTTGCTTAGGAGCAAAACATAGGGGGCATATTGTGTCTATAAATATCTGAACTTGAGCAACACTGGAGCCTATCCGAGCTGCAGTACCATAAGGTTAGAAGTAGGGTGCACCCTGGACAGGTCACCAGGCTGTCGCAGGGCCAACACAGAGCCCAGGATAAAATCCTGTAACAATTTATTCTTGGAGAAATTCAGCAAGCAAAACAGACCAATACATTTAGAATCTAAGTCTTAATTAGGGTCTATAAGAAATGAGCACATCAGAGGGACACAGTAGAGACACCCCTGGTTGAACGGTTTGGAGACATGCTTGTGTGGACTGGACAAAGCATGGATGTCCAGTCCACATGGATGGACAGTCCCTGTCCCTATCCATGATCCACTTTGGTAACCTTAAAATCAAACAGACAAAAGAAGATTTATTTACTTAATTATTAATTCATTCATCCATATATTTTACTTATGTCGTCGAGTTATGTTAAAATGAGCGTTTGTGCTTGTTTCCGCAGTGACCGATGACGGACCTGCCTCTGTTCTGTCATTGGGCGACGCTACCTGCTTGCTTTCACTTTCATTCTCCCACTGCTGCAGTGCGCATGCTCCTGCCAAAGAAACAGCTGCACAGACTCTTGAACTACCTTTATCGTTTACTTTTAAATTGCGTTAAATTTAAAGTCCAGCACGTATGATGCTCGCCATCGATGGAGCGAAGAACGGATATAAACAACTCTAGGCAGTAAACTCCTGAATAATGCGGTGATAGTTGTTGAAATCAAAAGTGAAAGTGCTGTGGTGCACTCAGCAGTTATTTGATATCCTTCTAATTTTAATTTACAAAAAAACTGGGAACACTTGCACTATGGTGGGGATGATGATGGTTATTAAAGTCATTTTAACTGGATACCTCATGACGTGCGTTTATGGTAAGAGCATAAATCTCATTGATTAAGCACTGGCTGTAGAAACGTGATTGTGAGCTCGACATTAAAGCTTTTAACAGAAGTATTTGCTGATAACCGAAGAGCTCTGGGAAAAGGGAGTATTTTTTGAACCTCTAATTAACAGTGTTTAGGTTAAAATGGCAGCAGAATAATAGAAGGGCTCAGTATACCGAAACACCTGAGCGCTCTGATCTTTTCTCTCTATTAGCCCAGACAGTGGTTCTATCTTAAATGCTGGTGCACTAAGATTTTTAAGAACTGTTCTTCTCCTTGTTTCTTCAGCTGATGGAGTTGCAGATGTGGTACTCACCTGCACTCTGGTGGAGGAGGGAGGTGGACTTGGTGGAATGGGAGGCGGTCACTTCACTCGGACTCCAGCCACTCTTATTTTACGAGATGTTGCTGTGGGCCCCGACGAATCACTCGAAGAACTCACTCCGTTTGTTCCTCCCTCCATCCCTGATCCAGACCTCCTCCTGTTTGAGGCCGAAGGTTTTTTCCTTGCCACCTCTTTGTTCAAAGTTTCCTTTTAATGTAAGCACAACTCTGTGATGAACTTCTTCTCTTATTCTTTGTAACAGTATCATCCCCTGAGATCCCCAATGCAAACGTGCTGCTCCATGCAGACTGCAATGAGCAGGAAGTGATGTGCGAATTAAGTAGTTACTCTCCTCGGGGATTGGAGGAAAACTCAGATCGGGTCTTTTTCATGGTGTCCCTCAGTGTGGATGAGGTTGACTTCAGCACTGCGCTGATTCTGGAGACCTTGAAGGTGGAGAAAGACGAGTCAACCCTGATGCAAAGCAAGCTGGGTCTTCCTCTCAGCCAGTCAGGAACTCTGCTTACCGACTGTGAGATCCATAGTTTAATATCACATTTTATACAAAGGAGCTTTATATGGTTTTATTAGATTATACATCATCCTCAAATGTTTTCTACCCCTCAGTGATATTTGTGGTGTTCACCCACATAAAGTCTGTGTCTGCCCCTCTGAGAAGTGATGTTCTCCTCAACTGTGGCTTCAAGCAGCAGGACACGCCATTAGCACAGGAAGTGGGCATTGAGTGGCGTCTGCAGCACAGAGGTAAAGGCAGGAAGGTGCTTGAAATGAAGAGGGCGCTGGATGATACAGAAGGCAGCACGATAGGTGAGCATTGTAGGTGGTAGCAGGTGTATCTGCATGTGTAATGCAGGGTTTGGCAATGAGAACCTACACTGTTTATTTTAATGGCTTTAAGACTGATGGTACTCAGGATAGTGATAGTTCAATAGTGGCATCCCACTTTACAAATATATATTTAAAAAAAGGGGCTTTGAATGATTGTTTCTAGTGATCTTAGGAGGATGATTTTAGTGACAGTCTTCTGAATGTTTTCAGTGAGTTTCTAGCCATGGGTTTCTTTATGTATGTAAGTTTTGAACCAAATGTCTGATTTTTATTAATTGTTTAGACAATGGTATTGAGGCAAGTGTAAAGGAGACTATAATGTCAATTTTTGACTTTTATTTCAGGCCTGTTGTCACCAAAAGATGACCTTTAGCATCTTAGCATTTTTACTATCTTTGTGTAAAGTTGCCACAAAAAGTTATCAGAAAGTTAACTCAAAAGTTATTTGAGATTTTAAAAAATATTCATCCGTGGATAAGCTAGCAAACAGGAAGTGAGGTCATATGAAAAGATTTTTATGGTATTGGAACCAAACTTTATGGATGTATTTAAAGATTACAAGCAAGCAAACAAAAAAAAACCCACTGAAAAAACAAAATGCATCTGTCTTACTACTATTGCCACCTGTAAAATGAAGATAATTTCACCTTCACACTTTTTGTACCCCACATTGCTGCTTGTAGTTGTATTTGAATAAATAGATTTTAAATAGGTGTACAAGTTTGTTATTTTATAAATAATTCAGGACCTCAGAAGAACTGTTAAAACATTTGAAATCACAGTGACAGTGGGTGATCTCAGTCCTGCACCAGCTCCAGTGTCAGTGTACATATAACTAGATTTGGATTTTAATTACATAAAGTTTTTACATGCCTTTTACATACCTCATTTAAAACGACATTTATCTTATAGTTTGAAAGGAATTATTGTCATTCAGGAATTAAATATGTTCATCCTTTACCCACAATTCACCTCTGTGTATTCATGAAATTCTGCTCAGTAGTTTAGTCTTGCTAAATTACTGACAGACAGGCAGATGCGATTAAAGCACACATGTGGAGATGATGTGAAGAGCACGAACTGAAGAAACATCAAATAATTATTATTCTGTCTGTTTAGTGGATGGTGAGAGGGCCGGCTCAAGCATAAATGCTGCCCAGGTTGTTGGTGAGGGTAACGCGTCTTTGACTCTGACCACGCTGAAGGTTGGAGATGAGGGGACCTACATCTGTACAGTCAGTCTTGGTCCTTTCCACTCCCAGCAGGTCATTCAACTTCGCATTATTCGTAAGTTTCACTCTGATCTTAATCCTCAGCCGCTGTTTTCGTTGATATTCTGTTAATTCTTCTCTCTTACTTTTTCCCCATAGAACCTCCAGATGTTTCCCTCTCAGTGGAGAAGTTGGTTTTAAAGTCAAGTTCGTCCCAGAAATTAAGTTGTCACAGCAGTAAATACTACCCACTGGATTCTCACGTCAGTAACTGTGTTTTGAGATGTAACTGTTACCCATTACTGTTTTCTAACACCATCCTTTTAAAGACCAATCTTATTAGTAACTTTAATATATTATCAAGTTTATGAAAGGAGATTTTTCTCTCAATCAGAATGAAATAGAGGAATTTAATAGAGCAGTTATTGCAGGCCTTAAACCAGCCTCTCTCTCAAAGTCTCTCTAAGGACGCCTGAAAGTGTAGATATTTTTAAACGTACCAATGCTCTTCATCTTGTTAATCAAAAGAGTCTTTATTTGCTGTTTTAATAATAAGTTATCTTCCATATTTATTCATTTGTGTTGTTTTGAATTGCACTAGCTCCTAAGGCTACATTTAAATGAATGGCATTATGGATTATGGTCATAATTCTCTGCTCTTTTCTGTTTTTTAGATCGAGTGGTTTTCCCTCTCTCCTACGGACACAGAGCCACAGCTCTTTATAGATCAGGGCTCCCTGTCCAGTCATCGGCAGCACGGTGATGGAACGTTCACCCTGTCCTCTCACATAGCTGTGCCTCCCACCACCGTCCCAGGAACTAAAATCATCTGCAAGGTCTCCCACACAGCTCTAGAAGAACCGCTCTTTGTTAGTGTGGTGGTGGAACCTCCTGAGCCTGGTATGTATATCTATTTAACACTTTTTTTCTTTTTTTTTTACCATTATCAAAGGGTTTTCATTATCTTGCTGAGAGTGGAATATAAATAGATGACAAGTCTGACATTGCTATTTCTATATTTTTCTATAGAAAACAACTCTGGTTCGGTCCTGAGCTAACAAAATCCTACAGCGGCAGTTTTTGTTCAATCATATAGAAACTGGCAGTTGTAGTTAAACAAGGTGTTTTCCACATTTTCAGTTGGCTTAACAGCATTTGGGGCCTTGACGTGTTACAAATGTAACAATTTACAGATCACTTTTAGCACCCTTGATGCACAACACTTTGGTTGACTTTGTGGATGAATTCAACATGACAATTTATTTCAGAAACAGTGTAAACATTTTTCTTTCTATAATGAGGGTGATTGTATTTATGTCTGATGTTAACCTTATCCACAAAACTTTTGTGTGTCTCCGCAGATTCCTATTGGTGGATACTGGGCTTCCTGATCATCACTGTACTGTTCTTCTATCAGGTCATGGGATAAATTTCACTTACATCATCGTGACTGGAGACTAGAAAGTTTCTTTGTGTCATTTTAGTGTTTAAGTTATTTTTTTAGGTATTCCACTGGTTTGTTCAACTCTTCCAGCTTTCTAGAAACTGTAAAACAAAAGTATAGATTAAAACTTGTCTCAAGTGGTTTACAAATGTGTAATATGTGATCAACAGGTGTATACTAAAATTTATAAATGTGTACAATGATTTGTAAGTTTTGAAGACTCAATACAGAGGAATTGGAACACATGGAAAACGAATTTACAAATGGATATATCAAACCTGAATAAACAGTCAGAATTTTTACACAAATTTTACAGTTCGACTTTATAAATTTGATAATTTGTACTTTTAGAAAGTTTCCTGTAACATTCTTTATTCTCACATACAGATCTTTAAATATGCATGCATGAATCCTCTGATATGCACAGTGGGGCTTTGAGACTTCACATTGTGATGTTCACATAGTTCCACAAATGTAAGCTGTGTTCAAGTGCTAGAGAAAACAACTGGTACATCTGGGCTTCCTGTGGATTCATATGTGTGCTTGTTTTAGTTGATTTTATTTACTAATTACAGATGCCATAAATTAGCCCATGAAAGCCAATATATGATTTAAATAAGCTGCTGCAACATGCTGGATATACTCCTGCTGGAACAACAGTCCGAGTGCAGCTGCAGATGGGAGAACAGTTGGTTACATTGTAACCCAGGTTCTCTGAGTGGAGAATCTCTTCAGGCTGCTCAGAAAGGCGCTCCAGTCAAGGTCAACTGTAAAAGCCATGCACACGTAATTTCTATATAGCCAGTAGTATTCACATCATACTACGGATTATGTAGGGTGGAGAGACATCTCTATGGCTCTTCCTCTGAAGTGAATATATGCTGACAATTTCTTGTATATTTTGATTATATATGATTAAGTTGATATGGATAGCAATCTAGGTTACTATATGGCATCTATGTATGTTTCCTAGTCCAGTGTAATGAGCTGTTCTGTTTATTTATGTGTGGATCGAGCACCAAAGTAGTGAAAGTTTTAATCATTGTGCACATTTGTAAATCTTAATTTACGTTTCATTTATATATAATTTGTAAACATTTGGGAAAATTTTGACCCGTACAAAAAACTTTTGGGGGGGGGGG